CATAGTTATACATACCTCTTCTACCTGCAGGCTTGTCTCAAACAATAAAGTCAAAGTGACGTAATGTACATGAAAACACTTGGTAAACTCTAAAGTCATCTTGTCAGGTAATTGCTATTTTAAACTGCTCTATAATAACTTTCTTCTTTACCACTCAAGAGTGTGAGCAATTGGTGCTATTTCATGAAAATTAGTCTGAGCTCTTCAAAACTTGCCACATCAAACAAAGACAGCCCCAATTTCTTTAATCAGAATGATGATCAGCTTCTAAAAATGAGTCCCATTTCCCCTGAGAGGACTCAGAATTAAAATCTGATTTCAAAGGAGGGAAAACTGCAGTGTGTTTGGGTTTGATTCTAAGCTTTTCAGTTCTCCTGCCTTCCGGCCTCTTCTGCACTTGACCCAGCTCAGTGAGTCCTTTAGGGGGTCTCTGGGGTGACTATCTCATGACTTGCCTTTAAAATCAGGGACATATGCAACTCTGGAACTTTTTAATGTGTAATATTATATATAAAATATTAGCCAATTCAACACTTTCTCATGTATAATTCAGTCACTTTGATTAAGTTTATCATGATGGGCTCCATTCCAAACCTACTGTTCTTGAGTTGATTCTGACTTATGGTGCCTCTATAGGATAGACCAGACCTTCACCATAAGATTTCCAACGCCCTCCTGGCCCACTGTGGCATACCCTACCTCCTCCTCCCTTCACGACTCTACTCCTTCCTGGACCCTGCCCTCCTCTCCGGATGCTGCCTCTTCCCACTCTTCTTCCTTCTTCTCTATCAACATTATACCAGAAACTAGCACCAGCCCAAAATTTTGTAAGTAAACACTGTCTCAACTGTGTGGCACACTGGGTTAAGTGTTGGGTTGCTAACCAGAAGGTCGGCGGTTTGAACCTATCAGTTGCTTCTTGGGAAAAAGACATAGCAGTCTGCTCCCATAAAGATTTACAGCCTCGGAAAACCTATGGGACAGTTCTGCTCAGTCATTTAGTGTCTCTGAATCAGAATCAACTCGATGGCAGTGAGTTTGTGGAAGCAGATTGCCACATCTTTCTTCCAAGGAGTGGCTGGTGGGTTTGAACTACTGACCTTTCAGTTAGCAGCCAAATGCTTAACTATGATGCCACCACTCTCCTATTCCAGATGATTCTACTATCACTAAGAGGGAGCCAGTGCCCCTCAAGCAAAGCCTTGTCCATTGCTCCTCCTCCCGGTCCTGGTGACCGCTCATGAACTCTGGACTCCACACATTTGCCTACTTCATACAATTTGAGATCATATCATATTTGTCCTTTTGTGACTGACAGACTTCACTCAGCATAATGTTTTCAAGGTTCATCTAAGTTGTAGCATGGATCTGCACTTCATTTCTCTTTATGGCTGAGTACTGTTCCATTGTATGTGTGCACACCATAAGTGTCCTCTATTGATGGACCCTGGAGCTGTTGCTCCTTTTCAGCTATCATGAATTACGATCCAGTGAGCACTGGGCTAGGAGTTTCTGATCACATGCCTACTTTCAACTTTCTTAGAACTGGGACTTCCAATACCTTTACAGCCAACTCAAGGGCATCCCAAGAGAGAAGTGGTGGAGAGGATCTGGAGTTGGTGTGGGCGTTTCTTAGTTTGGGGTTCCCACCTATGAGGATTGATGTCCTGGAATGAAATTGCCCACTGGAAGCTCCGTGATGCTGGAATGGCTCAACTTGATGAAGCACTGGGGGGCAGGGGTACCACTCTGCCCACCTGTGGGTCTGGAATGTTGTGAGCGCATTTGTCCTGGGCCGCCTCTGGGAGTACCTGGCGTGTGTGTCCCTGCTGAGGTTAGCTGGAACCCGCATCCTTGTTTTCTCCCTTTTCTCTTCCAGTTCTCATTATTTGTTTTTTAATCAGTCCCTTTCGTGTGATGTAAAATGAGAGGCTGGTTATTCTTCTCACACATTATTGTTTCTGTGGGGTCCTCCTCCCCTCCCGGCGCAGTAATTTCACCATCCCCAGATGAGGGTGATAAGTGTTTGAGATGCACGACTGTGTCTCATTTCAGTGCCTAATAGAAGAGGGAGAATGAACCATGGCACCTCTCTGCTCCGTAAATTCATAATTATAGGCTTCCTCGTCTCGCCTCTCCCAAACGAGAGGCACACTGATTGGTTTGTGTTTCCATACGTGAGTACAGTAAGGTGGTGGGTGACAGGCACCCAGTGCTGGGCAGGTGCCCTGAAGGGTCCCCCTCCTGAGGTTGGTGGAGCCTGACCCTCACTCACCTGTCTGTGCTGAGGATTACCTGCCCTGCCCGAATCGATTATCCCATACCAAAGATTGTCTGGTCAGCAGAAGATAGGGCGCCTAAGAGCAGTCTCTCCTAGACCAGAGACCAAGAGAACAGATGCTGAAGTGGGTTTGGATAAGGTCAAAAGGGACCCTAACTCTTGGAAAGAGCCCAGGTACCTGAGTTTCACACCGTCCTATCTCGAACTCAAATGGTCACTTGTATGTCATTTGACCTCTCTGGATCTTAGAGTCTTGTCTCTATAATCACTCTATTGGGTTATTTCTTTCAAATCAAAATGTCCTAGATTTTTCTAGAACTCATAAAAGATAAGGCCCTCCCTCAGCCCACATCCTCCCCCCACCTGACTCCTCAACACTCAGAGAAGGTGCCTTGTGGCACTATCTCCTTATAACCCTAATCATTTTCATTTTATTTTAGTCTTACACCCTCGGAAACCCTGTACAGGGTCACTATGGGTCGGAACCGACTCGACGGCACTTAACAACAACAACAACAACAACACCAATAGTAACTGCCATTTAATAAGTACTTGGGGAGTGTGGTGACGCCATGTGATAAGCACTGGACGTGAACCACAAGGTTGGTGGTTGGAACCCACTAGCCACTCCATGGGAGAAAGATGAGGTTTTCTGTTCCCGAAAAAGATATACAGCCTTGGAAAGCTTATGCAGGGTCCCCATGAGTCAGATCCACTCAACAGCACCTAATGACAACAACTTCCCACCACTTCCCAAAGCTATTACCCACTTCCTGAGACTCCTGTTTCCACCTACAGAGCTGACCAGGAGACACTGCTTGGCAGCGTTCTGGGGCTTTCTGTGTTTGGAAACTTGAAGGGATAAAAACGGTCTGTCAAGTATTATGTTTCCTGGGCTTTAGGATTGGGGGTTTCTAGCAAAAGCATGGGCAGGTTTTGCAATGAGTTAGACTTGGGCCCTCACTGCAACATAGCCAGGCATCCTTGCAGAGTTAAAGTTTTCTTGCCCCAAAAGATGAGTAAAACCACACTAACCCCAGAGAAGAGTCAAGAGCATGTCGCCCTCTTAGGAAACGTACTCAGAAAGCATCTAGAACAGAAATGAATGAGGCCGTTGGAATGGAAAACTCTTTTATTCCCCAGGGAGGTGTTTATTTACTTACTGATTTGCCTGACCACTGCTGAAGGCATTTTCTTCTCTCCCTCTAATGAAAACCTCTCAGAGGAGGCCCCACGGTGAGGGGCGGCCAAAATCTGCCTGATTAAAATGACATCAGGGCTCGGTGCCAGCCAGTGGACCCAGAGGACATGCTGCCTGCCGGGTGCAGGGATGGTGGACGTGGATGTTTAATGTAGACTTGAAGTCACCATGCCAGCTGGCAGAGGAGGCTGGCGAGCAAAAGCCATCCCTCTTGCAGGAGACACTGAGCCCATTGAGAACGCACTCTGGGTTTAGGTATTCTGGATCTGAGTCCCACCTCTTTTCCTTATAGTTGGTGTAAGTTCTGTAATGTCCCGAAACTCAGTTTTCTCATCTGTAAAATGGGAATAATGATGATCCTTACGAGGGGGCTTTAAGAAGTTTATTGAAAAGGACTATTGTCTTCCTACTCTACTTTCCCACAAGCTTTCTGAAGCCCCTTCAAACTTTAGAGGGCCAACAGGAAACAGTAGTTCTGATCCATAGCGACCTTGCATAGGATTTCTGAGGAGCGGCTGGTGAGCTTGAACTGCTGACCTTGCTGTTCAAACCGCCCTTGTAGTCTGGTGCATTAAGCCACAGTGCCACACCATGACTCCCAATAGGAAACAGAGAGCACTCATATTTGGCAGTTTAGGCAAGTTTAGCCAAGGGGCTCTTTCCCTAAGAGTAGTATCCTCTGCCTGCCTAGAGGAGGACAACATAGCACTTGGGGGCATGAGAGTGAGGCATCTGGCTCCATCCCCAGGGCTGGATGCATGAGGGAGGTCTGTGGGGAGGGTTGCCCACTGACTGCGGAGCCCCATGGTGAACAATCCATATGCATCAGGCTCCTGGACACAGGCAAGGGGAGTGGGTCTGGATGGACAGACGGAAGTTACTTCCCAGGAACTGGCCTTAGCATGGTATGGTTCTTTGTAAAGACAGGGATAGTGAAGAGGATGGACTGGCTATTATCATGACTCATCTGGGAGGAGGGTTGGACTGGTTGAACTCGAGCTTCTCAGTGTCTTAGTTTCCTAGGGCCATGGTAACAAAATCCTGCAAAGTGGGTGCCTTGTCAGAACAGAAACGTAGCGTGCCACAAAACATTTAGAAGTCGGGGGTCATGCTCTCTCTGCTCTTGAGGAAGATCCTTCCTGGTCTCTTCCAGCTGTTGGTAGCCCCAGGTGCTTCTTGACATTCCTTGACTTGTAAAGAGATGTACCCTCTCATGCCTTCCCTTGTGTGACTCTGTTCTGTGTCCATTTCCTCTTGGATTAGACACCACTCAGGAGGTGTGACCTCAGGTTAATTTAGTCCATTACATCTTCCAAGGAAGACCGACTTTGCAAACAAAGTCACTTTCCATGGTACAGGGGTTAGGGTGCCCACTGATCTTTTTGGGAGACACAATTCCACCCATAGCACCCATGTGGACAGTGCTTTGGGAGTCCAGACGGAACTTCATTGGGGGTGGAGTTGGGGGTGGACATTAAGACTCTGCTGTTGTCTCACTGTAACAGTCTCTTCTTTCTGGTCGTAGGGGAAACACCCCTGGTGAGGCCTGGCCCTGGGAGGAGACCCCTGAACTGACTGCTGTGTGGACACAAGGCTGCTGCTGTGGACACAAGGGCCCGTCTCTGAGATGAAAGCCATGCCTTGGAACTGGACCTGCCTGCTGTCCCATCTACTGATGGTAGGCATGGGTTCCTCCACGCTGCTGCCTCGGCAGCCTCCCTCGCTGTCCCAGAAGCGACCTCTGGTCACGTTCCGAGGGGAGCCTACAGAGGGCTTCAACCATCTGGTGGTGGACGAGAGGACAGGGCACATTTATTTGGGGGCTGTGAACCGGATCTACAAGCTCTCCAGTGACCTGAAGGTCCTGGTGACCCACCAGACAGGGCCAGATGAGGACAACCCTAAGTGTTACCCACCCCGGATTGTCCAGACCTGCAATGAACCCCTGTCCATCACCAACAATGTCAACAAGATGCTGCTCATAGACTACAAGGAGAATAGACTCATTGCCTGCGGGAGCCTCTACCAGGGAATCTGCAAGCTCCTGAGGCTGGAGGACCTCTTCAAGCTGGGGGAGCCCTTCCATAAGAAGGAACACTACCTGTCGGGAGTCAATGAGAGCGGCTCCGTCTTTGGAGTGATCGTCTCCTACAGCAACCTGGATGACAAGCTCTTCATCGCCACAGCCGTCGATGGCAAGCCTGAGTATTTCCCCACTATCTCCAGCCGGAAGCTGACCAAGAACTCAGAGGCTGATGGCATGTTTGCATACGTCTTCCATGATGAGTTTGTGGCCTCTATGATTAAGATCCCTTCAGACACCTTCACCGTCATTCCCGACTTTGATATTTACTATGTCTATGGCTTTAGTAGTGGCAACTTTGTTTACTTTTTGACCCTTCAGCCTGAGATGGTGTCTCCCCCAGGCTCCACCACAAAGGAGCAGGTCTATACGTCCAAGCTGGTGAGGCTTTGCAAAGAGGATACTGCCTTCAACTCCTACGTGGAAGTGCCCATCGGCTGTGAGCGAAATGGGGTTGAGTACCGCCTGCTGCAGGCAGCCTACCTGTCCAAAGCCGGGGCTGTTCTGGCCCGGTCCCTTGGGGTCCGCTCAGACGACGACCTCCTCTTCACCGTCTTCTCCAAGGGCCAGAAGAGGAAGATGAAGTCGTTGGATGAGTCGGCCCTATGCATCTTCATCTTGAAGCAGATCAACGACCGCATCAAGGAGCGTCTGCAGTCCTGCTACCGTGGTGAGGGCACACTGGACTTGGCCTGGCTCAAGGTCAAGGATATCCCCTGCAGCAGTGCGGTGAGTCCACGGGAGGGTCCACGGGGGGGGGTGGTGGAGAGAGGGGGCCGGGAGAAGGTGAGAATCCTGTGGAGTGTGTCTCCGTCTTCCATTCTGCAAAGAGAACTCATATGTCACTTTTTTGGGTATCAGTAGACTTGACTGTCATCGATGCAGACATTCCATGACAGAGACCCTGAGCTTGTGAAAGTCCAAGCTGGAGCTAAAACAGATTTCCTGTTGGAGCGTTTTGCTCGACTCTGCGTTGGTTTCCTGGTTGTTAGAGAGAGTGCTAGGGATAGGTGGGAATCGTGTTAAATAGATGTCATATGTGCCAGACATTGCTGAAGTCTAGACTATAGTTTTTGAGTGTACAAGATGTGTATCTACCATTCTTTCCCACCAAGACTGTTGATGACTTTCATGGGGGTGTAGAATATAACCACGAGGGGCGGAGGGGCCTGTGTGGTAGCCGTTTAACATTTGAGATAGGAAATTCCAGGGGAATTGTGGTGTTTATTTTTCTTCACATATATATGTTAAATTTGGTAAAATTATATACAATGCAGCATTTGTCAAGCCAACATTTTTTGTATGTATATGTCAGTGACAATGATTCTATTCACCATGTTGCCCAACCATCATCCACATCTGTTGCCAAATTTTCCATTGCTCTCAACAGATGCTTCAGGCTTTCTAAGCTGTGAGGGGACTTATGCTTGAAACTTCCTTGGAATCTTTAAGAAATGGCCCAATGGGGGCAGAAGAAGTAGGGGGAGAGTCTGGTGGACACATGGGGGGTGGGTGATGCACTTCTTGTCTCCCTGTCAAACTTTGGTGAAATTCTGTCTTAGGAGATATGTTTGGATCGATTGAAGAAAATGCAAGTTTTCCTCTATAACAGATAGCTATGTCCAAGCAGGCTTCAGGGGCACTGGTACACACCCCCTTCCTAATGTGGGTGAGCCCACCCTCTGGACTCTGGGATTTGGGCAGGGGAGTTGGAGAATGAGGGGGAGGGAACTCTGCAAAGTTTGCCTCCGGAATTCGACTTTTTAGACACAGGCTGGTTTCTTCGTGTACATGGTGGTGTTCTATGGACTCAGTCGGTTCTGACTCATAGCGACCCTGTAAAGGGTTTCCTAGTCTATAAATCTTCACAGGAACAGAAAGTCTCTTATTTTTCCTGAGAAATGACTGGTAGATTTGAGCTGCTGACCTTGTGGTTAGCAGCCCAGCTTGTAATTTCTTGATACATAGATGGAAGCTAAAATATATCATTCTTCTGTGGGTTCCTGAAAAACCAGCGCTCTCACGAGGGAAGCAGAAGAGGGCCGATGGATGAAGAGAGATAGCAACAGGTGGGCCAGCCAGAGCAGGCAGGTGGCTCACTGTCGTATGCTGAAGTCAAAGGCAATGCCACCTTGATCCCCTGAGTCTTTCATTTGGGGTGGTGGCAGATTCGCTCAGAACCTCAGGGCTTGTGCACTGTCCCCAAGTAAAATCAGTGACCAGTAGGTCCTGTGCTGTACTCTGTGTGCAGGCCACCCTCAAACCTAGATCTACAGGAGATGTGTTAGAATGGTGGTGTGGAGATGGCCCTAAGAGAGGGACCTGCACAGCTGACCACCCTAAGATGCTGCATATGACCACACTGGTAAAGGTGGTCATCATATCGGAGTGTGTGGAGAATTCCTCCTGCCTCTCATCACCACATACACATGCACTTATACAAGCATGCACTCACGGAGTCTACATCAGAAAATGCTAAGTTTGTGCTCTGTGACTGCTAAACTATGTGGGTTCTTTCTGAGACCAGAGAGGCAGGTGTGATGCTTTTGAGTCAAAATGTGCTCCCAATGCTGTTTTTTTGGGAGACGCTTTTGGGCGCAGACTCAGTTGCAGGGATCAGTCATGGGCAGGTGTTTGCCCTGACTTGCTACCTGCCACCGCAGACAAAGCCACGTTCATGTTGGAAGTCTGCAGCATGGCAGGTCCGAATGCCACGTGGTTCCCTTGGAAGGAACAGAGGGAACACAGCTTTGCAAGACAGGCGATGCCAGGCCTGGGAGTAGTGGAGCCAGATAACAAGCATTTGATTTTTCTTTGGGATTTAATTAGCCCTTTCAAGCTAGAGACAAGTCCAGGGTTGAGAACAGAGTGGCGGAGGCCAGCCACGTAGCCTAGGGGTGGTCCAGCTCCACAGCCGTCTGAAAAGCCCTGGGTAGCTTTTAACGCACACTCTGTGTCCTTTGATCTGGCGGTTACCCATGTTCCTCTTCCCCCTCACTCGTGCTACAATTCATTTGGACTCAGCTCAGGCTACACATACACACCCACACCAGCCACTTCGGCTGCCCAGATGCTCAGGTTGGCCTGCTTTACAAACCCAGTTGGTCTCAACCCCTTCCTGAGAACATAGGATTCGTTTTCTTTCCTCTGTGATCTAGAGGCAGGGAAAGGAAGACATGAGTTTGGGCTTCCCCATTGATTCCGAGGGCACCTGCCCTTGAGACCTGGGCAGTGAAAAGGGCTCTTGGATCATTCACCTGAAGCGAAGTGGGGAAGGAGTCTAGGAGGGTGATTCTCAGGGTCAGTGTTTCATAGGGCGGGGGACCCTGTGGAGTTGATCAGAGTCACAGCTCTGAAAGCTGAATAAGAGCTATGAGCTCATTGTCCTTGTTAGCATCGGGCTCCCTGTTACTCCCATTCGCTCCGTTAGATTGCTCATCCAGGCAACACTGCAGGTTTGTCTAGACCCTTCTGTTTCCTGTAATCCATGCGTTTACTCCTGAACACCTCCCCTAGAACTTACGATAGGGAGTAATATGACCCCGGGACCCTGGAGGCCACTGGGCCTCTCTGCAGGTCCACTCCTTTGCTAGTGTCTCCTTTGCTGCAATTGGCTGCAGAGGTGAGAACACCTTATGTTTTGGCTGAGTGTGTCTGGGGGTGGGCCAGAGCCTGTTGCCTGGGGGGAACTGTGTTCGGTTGTAGGCTGGGGCCTGCCAGCTCTTGGACCCTCTTGTTCTGGGTTCAGATGAGTGAGGGCAGGCGGGCTGCCCACCTTGGTGAGAAGGGTAGCCCCCAGGAGCAGGCCACACTGGAAACGTGGCTGTACAACACACATCATCTCTGCAGGTACCTGAAGGAGCGCTGGGTGAGGAGCTGACCAAGGCCCCTGTGGCGTGCTGTGGGGGTAAAGGAGGGGCCTGAATGGAGACAGCTATCCAAGAATGCATGGGCCAATGGCTGAACTGTAGGCTAGAGGTCTGGGGGCAGTGGTCTCAGGGAGTCACCATGGGAGCTGCCCGGCGGGTGCATCTTCAAACAAGGGGTACTACAGACGCCCCAAGGCTGACTTGCTAATGAGCATTCTTTTGGGGGTTAGTGCAGTTTGTTTGAGTTCTGGATTTCCTTGCTCAGCAGTGGGGATGTCTCTTAGGAGGCCTGCCACCCAGCCCTGTAACACTGTGGTCCACAGAGCACATGACAAGACAGTGTGCTGAGGAGCCCACGACCTGGGGTGCTGTCCTGCATCAGAGTCCTGGGGGGCCTGTCCTCCCCTCCTGCAGGGCCTACACCTCTCTCCTCTCCCTCAGCCTCCTGAGGTAACCCCACAGAACGCCAGCCCTTCTGTTTCCAAAGCACTTGGTCAGTGGCGAAGTGAAGGAATGTTGGCGATACTCTCTCCTCTTGGGATGCCATGAGCCTCAGGAGCCACAGAGGGGAGCAGAGCAGAGGGGACATGGCCATGGGAGGAGCATGGCTGCCCCCTACAACACCGATGTTTTCCCTCAGCCAGGTGTCAAGCGTGAGGCAGTGTCTGTGTTAGTGCTGATGGGGTTGGACTGAGGAGGGCATTTGGAGGCGGCGGCCCAGCCTCTTCACTGTCTGGACCCTCAAGTCTTGACCTTAGACTATGGGTCCCTGGGTAGAAACCACGGTCAGCCCCTCACAACCTTAAAGCTCCAGTGGTGGGATCTGAGAGCAGGACCTCCCAGTGACCTGCCTGTATCACTGCACAAACTCACAGGGGACCTGTCGGGTTATTGCGGGCTTCGTAACCTCCTTTTAGTCTCGTCAGCAGTGCTGTAACCGCTGCCTCCAAGGTGATTCCCACTCTTGGTGACCCCATGTATGTCAGAGCAGAACTGTGCTCCGTAAGGTTTTCAGTAGTGGAAAGCCAGGCCTTACTTCCAAGGTGCCTCTGGATGAACTCACAGTGCCTTAGAAATGGCAGACTTCATTGCAAGTTGAGGAAATTGATGCCCAGAACTCAGGGTCCTGTAGCACATGGACTAGCTCCTGCCAAGTGTCTGGGGACTTCTCCACTGGCGTGCGGTAGGGGTAAGGGGGTACCCAGTAAGCAAGGCGAGTACTTACTTACAATATCATGTGAGCTTTACCACATGTGAAGCTGTCACTGCATATTAAATAGGCACAAGTAAGCCCATGCTTACCTTACAGACTAGGTACTCCATCCCTGTCAGGGACTGTAAATTTGAAAAGACGTTTTCATTCTGTAGGAAGGTGTTGCGAGGTTGGGAGAAAGAGAGATGCCAGCCAGGCCTAGAAGCAGAGAAACTGTGAAATTGTTCGCTGCAGGTTAGCAGCTAAGCACAAGTAAACCTGTGCTTACTTCGCTGCTTGGAAAATCTGACACTGCTTGTGTTCCTCAGTATGGGCTGGGACACTGGGATCCTAGGCCTAGGACCCCTCCCGGCCAGTCCCCCATCCCGTCATTTCAAGAACAGGAAAACCCGTTAACGTTTCCAGAACCGTCGCTAAGCCAAGTTCTTCTCTGACTTCAGCGTCTCTGGCTCCACCTCATCCCACAAGGTTCAAGAGGGACAGGGACTCTGGGGACCTCACCTTGTGCTGCACAGGGCGTATCACTGGGTGGTGGAGGAAAGTCTTTGTTGTGTGTATATGGGTTTCTTCACTCCTGTGCACGGTGGTCCTCGGTGGAGGGAATGGGAACGGTCACTCCCTGACCTCAGGACCTCGTACACGGTCAC